TATTTGGAACATATCTGCTCTTTCACTACCACCTCTTGCAAGTGTCTAAAAATTATATACAGCAATTACTTCTACCTTATATTTTTGACATCGGAACTGCTTACAAGAAGAAGTACTGTGAATGTACAAGTGAAAACCATTAGTGTACCATAAGGCAAAAGCAGACATGTTAATGGCTTGTCAACCCTACACTATTATTAGGTTATTTAATAGCCATTGAAATATAACACCAAATAATTTATAATCACTCTTTTCCTCCTGCCTTTCTGAATGCTGGTGACAACCTTAGAAATGACCACATGTAGGAGGCTGTTAAATGTTTCCAGTTAAGCAATCTACTCTACCTAAAGAACACCTACATCCCCACTTGCCAATTTAATGTGCCTTACAGAGATTCGTTAGTTTACGACAGAGGAATACCTGTTTTAGCAGTGTCCCATACGGTAATGTTTTATCACAGTTCATTCAAATCACTCATCCATACATACACATTGTAATACCCAAGGGTATAAGTGACATATACTTTCTTCATATCCAGTAAGCTAGGGTGTGCACCGTTGCTCATTCTTGGCCATTGTGACCCAATCAAACTAGGCTGCCCCTCCTTCAGGGGCAGTGGAGAGTGCCACTTTGCCTGCTTATTTCAGGTGGCTTTGAAGTCTGAGATTACACGTGTACTGGAGATCATGCTTAGTCTATAATGGCTAACAAAGTGCTCTAAATTTGTAAAACTGGAAGTAGAGGGGAGAAAAGACAATAAAGAGCATCAAGTCCTATGTTAGAGTGCACGTTTTTACGGCTGCTTATGGCAGAGGAGTATCATCAAGCAACTGGTTAGGAAGGCAGACAGCAAAGCTCAGCCATGGATGGATAGAAAATTTTGACATTATGAAGAGCATCACAGACATCAGTAAATATCTACTGAGCATATATTATGTGTCAGGCATAGATCTAGATGCTGAGGATACAAGAGGAAACAACACAGACAAAAATTCCTGTTCTTATCCGGTTAAATGTTAGTGGAGAGAAATAGATGGGAAACAAAATAAGTAAGTAAAATATATAGTTGTTAGATACTAAGGGTTGGTGTAATGGTAGTAACTTTAAACAAATAAGTTGGAGAAAACCTCATTGAGAGAGAAGTGAAGAGGCAAGCCATGAGGAAACTGTTTGAAGAGTATTCCAAGGAGAGGAAATTGCAAAGGAAAGAGCAGAACCAGGGAAATGTTTCCAATTATGTTGTTGTTAATCTAATAAAACAGGGGTGAGTCTCCACAGAGAATATGCTGTCAGGAATGAACAAAGCACTATTCAGTTATCTCAAGCATTTCTAGGATGCACCCTTTGAGCAAAACATTGGAAAACTGTTTGAAAGCATTTCTAAGATGCAGTATTCCATAAAATGTATTAAAACTTAATTGGTAAGGTTTGACAGTCATACAGTTACTGATTTTTTTTTCCATATTCACCATAGATAGCAACAATTTGCATAAGAGAAACCCTGATTTTAATGCTTTCTTTTCTGGATAGTTTTGCATACTTTTTACATGATTTCCATGATGAACCCGCTAATACTCTCTTCCATCCACAGTTTTGCATAATCTGCATAATAAAGATATACTGAAGAAGAACTTGGAACTGAGCAATTCAGCAAGATCACAGGAACAGGTGTTGGGAGCTGCCTGCCAGCAAATGCTGCGAGAAATTCTGTGACTATCAGGACAAATCTTGCAGATAAGGGTAAAATAAATGGCCTTGGCAAGATTTTGTATAGACTGCATATTTCTTGTGGGGTCATCACTGCTTCTAAAGAATCCAGCTAGAATTGTTATTTTGGAACACAACTTTTTGGGTCCCTGCATACATCTGTGTATTCCAGATTTCTCTAAAATATTTATCTTCCTGATGGCTCATTACCCTGTTGAGTGTAGACTGTTGATTAGAGGGGACTTCCATAGCATTGGATTGTAGGAAGCTAGCAGGAAATTCCAGTTACCTTGCTACATAAGAAATTATCCTAAAATTAGAGGCTTATAACAACTATATTTTTGTTTATAATTTTTGGGGTCAGGAATTCTGGAATGTTACGGGATGGTGGTAATCTGAAGGATTGACTGGGCTGGATATATCCAAAGCGGTTTACTCACATAGCTGTCAGTCGATGCTGTCCTGGAGCAGTCAATCCAAGCACTTCCAAGTGGCCACTTTATGTTGTCTGGGCTTCCTCCCAGTAAGGCAGCTACAGGGCAGTCAGATTCTTACAAGGCAGCCCAGGGCTCCAAAAGTGAGTGCTGTAACATTTAAGATGGAAGCTGCATTACTTGTTATAATTTAGCCTTGGATGCCACACAGTGTTATTTCCATCACACTCTATTGGTTACAAATGAGATGTAAGCCCACCCAGAAATAAGAAGAGGTTACCTGTACCTGCCTCCTGATGAGAAGAATGTCAAGGTCACATTGATTGTAGAGGAACATGTGGTATAGGAGATACTGTTGTGGTCATATTTGAAAAATATAAGCTGCCAGACAGGGTGAGTTAGCAAAAGTAGAAGGTGTGAAGGCCCTGAATTCAAGGTGAAGTATAGAGGTCACCGTATCTTGCAGAGAAACAGACAAAATAAGAGCAGAAACTGCAATATGTTTACATTCTTCTGCTCACAAGAGCAAAAGGATCCAAGAATATAGGAGGAGTTTAAACGAGTAGGGTTAAGGTTTCAAAAAAGGCCTTGCTCTGTACTGTATACTTCAGGGTACCTTAATTCTCTCATGGTAATTCACTTATTATTTCATTAACTTTAAGTAAATATCTACTACATATAGTAGTGGTGGCAGTAGTAGCAGTAGAATAGTCAGAGACTATCCTAGGCTCTTATTTATCAGTAAACAAATGCAATGAAAAGCCCTACCCTCATGGAGAGTATATCCTAGTGGAGTAATGATATTAAAATACATTACACTGCATGCAATTAAGTATATTTAATATTAAGACTATTGGAGGTGGGGCTTCAAAGAACCCTAATACTTCACCCAACCCTGTATCCCTACCCTTTGTCATACAACTTTGACATTCAACAAACCACCCTATATTTCCTCATGTGATTTGCCAGTAGACTAAGGCAGACAAGAGTGTGTGCCCTGAGCCTGCACCCTCAGAAATCTTGAACTATGTGGTCGTGTCAGTCCTGGCAGTCGTGCTGGAAAAATAAGGCTCTTTCCCAGACTACATAAAGTAAGGATGGAGGGGCAGGGAATTTAATTTCTGCTTCCCAATCATGGTGACATTTAGCACTTCTGAGGGGGGGAAAAAGCCTCCAAACTGGCCTTTCAATTAAGTTGAATACTCTCCCCACAAAGAATCAGAAACTGTTCTATAAGCCACTCACTCTTTCGTGTCTTGCTCAGTCCCTATCAAAATGCAAATACTCCTGGGACACGTAACCAAGTCTTTAGTCCTCAAGAATCAACAGTTGGGGAAAGGCAGAATTATTTCAAACAGCTGAGCACAAGAAAGGCGACTAGATTGTGTAATTGTTCGTTTTGTTTTTCCTACCGAATTTTAAGCTCCCAGAAGTCTGGGACCATGTCTATCTTGTTCATCCGTCTATTTCCAGGTTTCAGGACACACAGGAGACCCTTCATAATGCCCGTGGGACAAAAGTAGAGGAGAACAAACCTGGGAAAGAAGGGAAGCAAGGAGGAGATAAAAAGCCTAATTAACCAGGCAAGGTGGCTCACGCCTATAATCCCAGCACTTTGGGAGGCAGAGGCAGATGGATCACGAGGTCAAGAGATCGAGACCATCCTGGTCAACATGGTGAAACCCCGTCTCTACTAAAAATACAAAAATTAGCTGGGCGTGGTGGTGTACGCCTGTAGTCCCAGCTACTCGGGAGGCTGAGGCAGGAGAACTGCTTGAACCCAGGAGGCGGAGGTTGCGGTGAGTCGAGAGCGAAACTCCGTATCGAAAAAAAAAAAAAAAAAAGCCTAATTAAATTCTCACAGAGCGTTTATCCTAATACCAGGTAGTTAATGACCCCAAGATACGTATTGAGCGTTTTTTGTTGTTGTTGTTATTGCTTTTTTATGAGACGGAGTTTCGCTCGTTACCCAGGCTGGAGTGCAATGGCGCCATCTCGGCTCACCGCAACCTCCGCCTCCTGGGTTCAGGCAATTCTCCTTCCTCAGCTTCCCGAGTACCTGGGACTACAGGCGTGCGCCACCACGCCCAGTTAATTTTTTGTATTTTTAGTAGAGACGGGGTTTCACCATGTTGACCAGGATGGTCTCGATCTCTTGACCTCGTGATCCACCCGCCTCGGCCTCCCAAAGTGCTGGGATTACAGGCGTGAGCTTATTGAGCTTTTACAATGCACGAACGGCAGGAGGGGACTGCCCCTTCCTTGCCTTAACCCGGTGTGTTTCTTTGAGATTTTACTCCTGTATACTCTAAGAAAACAATCCAAAAACCAAAGCTAGGAAAAACGTTTCTGTATGGGGTATTTCACCGTTTCAATGCATTCAACACGATGTACTCAAATGCTCCAGCTTTTGGGACTGAAGCATTCATAATGAGAACTCCGAAGCGACCAAGATAAAATACAAACTTCAAAGAAGGCGCCCAGGTTTTTCCTGGTACTCAAGCCTAGTTCAGTGGCTCCTCAAACTTTAATGTGCATGCGAATCACCTGGGGACCTTGCTAACTATTTAGATTTGGATTCAATAGGTCTGGAGCGAAGCCGGAGATGCTGCGTTTTTCACATGCTTATATGATGTTCTAAGCCAAGGACCACACTGTGAGTGCGCAAGGGACTGGAGACCGTCACCTCCGCCGCCAGGAGTGTGTATGCTGAGTCTCTGCGTTCCAGATCAGTGTCCCGCACGTCCCCGGCCTTCCGCCAGGAGGGGAGGAGCCGGGGGCGGAGCGGGAGGAGTGGCGCGGGCCCCGCGTGGGTCCTGCCAGAGATGGCCTCGGCCCCTTGGAGAGGCAGCCGAGCTGCGTCGGCGCAGGAGGGGGCGGGTTCGGCGAGGGCGCGGCCTCTGAGCGGGGGGGGCTCACCGCACGCATCCCCCGCGATAGACCGGGCCACTCGGGAGCCTCGCGGCAGCCCGGCGCCCCACTTGGCCATCCGCCCCTTGCCCGCCTACTCTTGTCACCTCCCGTCTCACCCTTCTCGCTCCGTCCCCGCCGCAGACACCGCCTCACCATCCGAGTGAGCGCCTCAGAGAGCCGGAGGTGGTGTGCGGGGCTGCAGGGCGCGACCTCGAGCGGTCCTTAGCTCCGCACTAGCACTAGGGGGCACGGGAGACAGCATGGACTCCAAGCGCTGCTTCGCCAATCGCTTCGATGACTACCAGGGCAGCCTGCTGGCGGGCCAGTGTGAGGAGGCGGTGGCGCCCTTGGTCACAGCCACCATCGAGCGCATCCTCCAGGAACTTCCCCCTCTCGGGGGCGGCGCCGAGGCCCGAGGAGCGACGGCCGCTGCTAGCGGCTGCCAGGGGGGGCTTTACGGCGGCGTGGCCGGGGTAGCCTATATGCTCTACCACGTCTCGCAGAGCCCGCTCTTCGCCACCGCCCGGGAGCGCTACCTGCGCTCGGCTAAGCGCCTCATCGACGCGTGCGCCCGCGCTGAGGAGTGGGGCGAGCCGGACGCCGACACCCGCGCTGCCTTCCTGCTCGGGGGCGCGGGAGTGTACGCTGTGGCCACGCTCGTGTACCACGCCCTGGGCCGGTCCGACTACGTGCAGCCGCTGGGCAAGTTCCGGGCTCTGTGCGCCGTCTGCGCGCCGGTCTCCTTCCTGGAGTGCGGCTCCGACGAGCTGTTCGTCGGCCGCGCGGGCTACCTGTGTGCCGCGCTGGTGCTCAAGCAGAAACTCGCCCAGGAGGTAAGAGGTAACTCGGCCGCGGGAGGGCGCTCGCCGCCTACCCGGCGGCCTCCCTTGCCGGGACTTCCTGGCTCCATCCGCACTGACCCGGGTTGCTCTCCTTTAGTTACTCTTCCTGTGGCGCTAGCATGTATTTCTTCAGTCCCTTCAGGTCTGTCTCCTGCTCCTGTCCGTCTTCTTTCCTGTCTGTCTGCAGCCTCTCGTTTGTCGAGATTCGGCGTCTCTGCACTTTGCCGCTGTTTTTATGCTGAACGTGGCATCGCCCCAGATGCCTGTCAGCTTTCTGGGGGGTGACAGTGTGGCCCTTTCAAGTGAGATGAAAACCTCAGAAATGGAAGGGATTTCCTTTCCTTTGACTCTGCTGCGAAAAGCTGAGGCATCCTCGAATGTTACAGGGCCAGGAAGTAGGGGCACTTTTGGGGGCCGATGTGGAGGTTAGTTGCTTCTGGAGCCCTGGGTCTGTAACCAAGAATAACTGCTCAGCTGTGAGGCTGTTGTGTTTACTGTCTTGCTGACTATTCAGTTCAACCCATGGCTCTTACTAAATGCATGTCTGGTAGGAGTGTCCCCTTTAAAAGTACATAAATGTAGACGGAAATGTACCCCAGTGTGGTTGTATGTCCATTATTTCACTTAAGAGTATTTGCTTAGAATGGGCAAGACCACAGCTTACTTGACCGGGCAGCTTTTCTTGATGAGTAACTTGACAGCGGCTCCTAAAAGTGAATTGGTTTTCACATACAGATTTTTTCCTGGACTCACTTTGAAATCAGCATGTGGTTATTAGAAGAGAACATGCCAGTTCCTGTGGAGTAGGAAAAAAAGCAAAACTCTGAGGGATCATAGTAACTAGAAAGGAGAGAGAGTCTCTTTCATTCATAATCCACTGGAGCCAAGTATTGTTCTAGGCAGGAAGGGACACTTTTAACTCGGCTTTATTTAGGTGAGAAAGGCGTTTGAAGAAAAAGGTATATAGAGTGTTTTAAGTGAGTAATTAACCTCGGTAACCTTTGCAGAGGCAGACAGGGTTTTAAAATTATTATTATTTATAGCAGGTGAGGCTGATTCAAGTGAGAAAAAAGAGTAAACAATGTGCACCTCGTTAGCTGGGCAGCAAAGGTCTGTGTCACAGAGTTGTCTTGAAATAGTTCGCTCTGCTTCTGAGTCACTGTTAACTGCCAGCAGTTTTTCAAATGCCCTTCCAGTTGTAGAAAACCTTTTAGAAGGCCACAGAGACATTTACATATCATTTGCATACATTTGCATCTGCTCCCCTCACCCTGTAGTCCTGCAGCAGGGGATTTAAAAAAAAAAAAAAAAATTTTTTTTTCAAATTGCTTTCCTTAATCCTGCCTCTTCCCCTTTCCATGCCTTCAGGCCTTTTCTCTAGAATGGAATGGGAAGGGTGCCTGACCACCAGGTCACACAAGTGGAAGCAGACCAGAAGGACTCTGCCCCAAAACTGGTGGTTTGGGCCAGTCGGCAACACTGATCCACAAAGACATTTATTAAGACCTCCCTTCTGCCCTCCTGCCAAACCAGGTCTATTTTTTTGTATTAACCGAGTTGAGGTGCAGGGTCCCATCCCCTGCTCCCAGGAGATGGAACAAGCTTCAAGGATAAAAAAAAAAAAAAACCACTACCATCAGCTCTTAACCAGAGCAAACCAGTTAGTTCCAGTGCCAGCTGCAGCTGTGGCAATTCAAGACTTTCTGGCTTGAAAGGCATAGGGCAGGGGCTAAGCACGTCAGGCTGGAAGCCCTTTGAGGGGAAAGTACAAGTTTTAGACTCCATCCTCACCCTCCAAGTCCTAGCCAGCACAGGGCTTTGCCCTCAGTAGGTGATCCATAAACCTTGATTAAATCAAATTGTGAATTTGTATCATTTTTCTCTAAATAATCTGTCAGTATGTCCTGAATTTCTTTCCCTCCGACGTCATTTGTATTCACATTCCTCCAGCAGTTCCCTCAGTTATCACTCTAATTTAGATCCTCCCCACATTACTTGGCACATCTTTGCCACCTGATACATAGTTGAAGGACTGAATCACCATATATTGGGATTGGTGCAATATACTTGGAGCTAAAATCTCCCCCTCAAGCCATTCCATCCACCTCTAAGAAACCAGTATTTCAAAAGACACTTTTGATTGTTATTTCCCTGCTCAACACACTGCAATGGCCCCCTATTCCTTTTCCTCCAGTGGCTTGTCATCTCACAGCTAAAGTTATGATTCTCAAAATTAGCCGAGAAGGCTCCACATGATCTAGCCTACACACCTACTCTACTTCTTGCTCACTCTTCTTCAACCGCACCGTCCATCTTACTGTTTTCGTTACTTTCCTGTCTCAGGGTGTGTGTTCTGACGGTTCGTTCTACATGGAACACTCCCCCTAGATATCTATAGCTAGATGTCTGACCCTGTATAGGATTTTTTTTTTTTCTTTTTGAGACCTGGTCTCACTCTGTCACCCAGGCGGGAGTGCAGTGGTGCAACCACGGCTGACTGTAGCCTCGACCTCCTGGGCTTAGGTGATCCTCCTACCTCAGCCTCCCAAGTAGGTGACACCACGGGCATGCGCCACTACACCTGGCAACTTCTTTTGTATTTTTTTTTAAGAGACAGAGTTTCGCCATGTTGCCTAGGCTGTTCTGGAACTCCTGGGCTCAATTGATCTGCCCGCCTCAGCCTCCTAAAGTGCTGGGATGACAGTCATGAGCCACTGGGCCTGGCCTTGTAGAGGTCTTTACTTCCTCAAATGAGGCCTTTTCTGACCACCCTATTTAAAAATGCAACCCCACCCTTAACTTATCCCCCTTGCCTGATTTGTTTTACTTAAATTGTTTATTTTTGTCTTCGCCGATTAGAACGGAAGCTCCATAAAGGTAGACATTTTTGGTTTCATCGATGTTCATTGCCAAGACTGCCCGACATATTTTTAGATACCCAGATATGTGTGTGTTTGCAAATATCACTCAATTTTAGTGGTGTCCCATTTATCAGTATTTTCCTTTATGGTGGTGGTTTTGGTGTCAAGTTTAAAGAAATCATTTCCTCCTGCCAAAGATTTAGTAAATATTTGTTAAATGGATGGACGAATGATGAATGAATTCTAGTTTCTTACAGGATTTTTTCCTTGGCTTAAGCTCAACCAATAAAGCAGTGCTTCTTAAACTTTAGTGTGCATAGGAATCACCTGCAGATCTTGTAGAGCTGCATTTCTTACAAGTTCCTTGGTGATGCTGATGTTGCCGGTCTATAGAGCATGCTTTGAAGAGCAAGGTGATACAATGGTGGATAGGTTTTGGCATTATAACCACCTCCTCTATTAAGGCATACTATAAGACACCACTCTATAAGCTTGATATGTTTATAGTTTAGAATGCTGACTACTATATCCTACCTTTCACTCTAAAGATCCACAAGAGGAATTGCTCTCAGAATGTAGAGACAGAAATAGTTGTGTGACTCCTGAGGATTGAATTTCAAAACTCTTCAAAGTATTGCATGTAACTGATTCTGTTTCTCACTCTGTGTTGGCCGCTAGGGAGTTTATGGCTAGAATTGTGGTCCGTATAAGCTATTATACCATACCTTATCAGATCTATTTTTATGTGTAGATGTTTCCCCTGGGTTTATCTAATTTTTCTTCCTTAGTTTACCCTTTTCTGGACTTTTTTGCCTTTTATTTGCTTTTGTTGTTTGTATTTAGGTTTACAAGATTCAGATATAAGAAAAAGATGTATGTGTGTGTAGCAAGGGACAGAGAATCCCTCTCTCCAGGCAATGTATTTTTATTTAACTTGGCCTTCCTGGAATAGTTCTGAGGACTGCTTAGGCAGATATCCTTGAGCAGTGGGGCACTGAAGTCTCAAGAAATCCTGCCATAAAAACTGGGTCCAATGGGCTTTCCACTGATTGGTGGAAATGTAGCGGACAATGACGGAGGGATTAGGGGGAGACCTAGGATCTCAGTTAAAATAATAACTCTGCCACTGAATGATCTAGGAAAAATATTTTTAACATCGCTGAGCCTCAATTTCCTCCCCTGTAAATTGATTAGTAAAAGCTGCCTCATTGACTTATTCTGCTTTTCATTCGTCCATTCAGTGAATGTCAGGTTTCTACATGGTGTGAGGTCACTCACTAGATGCTGCGGTTCAGTAGTGAACAAAAAAATAAAAGTCTGTTGGTGAACAAAGAAAATAACATCAGTCCTTTTAGATAAGTGCTCTTAAGGGTGTAATCAGGAACTGAGGACAGGTGGGAAAGCAGAGGGCTGCTGTTTGGTAGGAGGGCTTCTCTGTGGAGGCAATGTCCTAGCTTATCACTAGAGCATGGGAGCCGAGTGGCTGCTCTATGAACAGGTATTCCAGGCAGAGGGCAAGAGCCCCTAAGGTAGGAAATGGCTTGGACATTTCAAAGAAATGGAAGGAGGCTAGCATGCCTGGAGCAGAGAGCAGGGAATAGAGGAGTTTGAAACCATGGAAGGAAATATGAGCAGGGTAAAATCAGATCCTGGCGGGCCAAGTTAGTCAAAACTAGGAGTCTGCATTTGTTTCATGTTTAAAGGAGGAAATATCTTGATCTGACTTACTTTTTAGAAAGGTCACCCTGGTTTTCTGTATTAAGAGGGATTGACGAGATTAACAATGATAACGACGAGGACTGGTTGTGTGAGGTCTAAACCTCTTTTGTGCCAAGGACTCCTTGTCAGTCTGGTGAAACCTATGGGACCTCTTCTTAGAATAATATTTTTAAATGCATAAAATAAAACACACAGAATGACAAAGGAAGTCGATCATATTGCAATCTTGTTACCAAAACATTTTTAAAATGTGTCATGCAGTAGCGTATGTGCTCCTTTATTAACACATTACATTAGATTAAACAGCAGGTTTAATATAAAGCTTTTGAAACGGTGATGAGAGCCAATGATATTTTGAGGTATCATCCACAGCTGCAAGTGTGGAAGATGCATGTCTATGATTTCTACAGG